CACACACTCTCACATACTCTCATACACACTCACACACACACACACACACACACACACACACACACACACATCTGCCATGCAGGCTGTCTGGAGGAACACAATTTAATTTCTACAAAAACAGACACATTAAAAACTCCTAAAGTGACAAGCAAATAGGAAGGGCGAAAAATATCTGCCTTTTATTGTAGTTGTAGAGTGCTTAAGAGAGGGTGCACGATTTTCTGTTCTGGGAGTTTTTTTTCTTCTCCAAAATCAATGTTACAACATACTATGGAAACTAATAATAATAAGTGTGTTTATATAATTGAGTATTATTTTATTGAATTTGAAATTTAATTCTTCTGAAACTGAGAACAGTTCCAAGATTAACATTTGACTTTTCACTCCTTATGATTTAATTTAGACATTTTCATTTAAATATGCGCTTCAAAGTCATCTTAACTTTACAAAAACAATGATGTTCATAATATAAAATATTATTGTATCATAAAGGTCTAAATTATTTTGTGTAATAATGAACTAATAACTCATGTCTTCTACCGGCCCAAATATAATCATCTAACAAACTCAGAGGTCATGGTAGATCTGCCTTTTGGTTGATATAGTATTTATAAAAATCAGTGGCGAGCTGATATTGTTAATGTATGTATGATATAGATCTTATTATGAACAATTCTTTCATGTTTTGTATGTTTATTATTATTATTATTCAACTTGTAATTGTTAATCAAAAGCTGGATCTTAGTGAAGCTGGATCATCTAGTCAAATGTCAGCCTTACCTCTGGTGACATATTCAGAATTTTTCCAATCGTTTATTCTTAAATTGCTTGATAATGTGATTATAAGAGATTAGACATCACATGTTGCTGTTAGCTAAAGAGCTATGATCCGAAAACAATAAAACTCAGCTCCTTCACTCACCTTGGCAATTCTTGGCTATAAGGGCATCCCCAAAGTATCTGACAGCGCACCTTTCACAGTCCGGCCCTCCATATCCCTCATGACAGCGCAGACAGGCTCCGGTCACCGGGTCGCAGCTGAGCTCTGCTGTAAGATCCAGGTTCCCATGACACGTACACGGCTGACAGGAACCTCCAGGAATGTTGGTACGACCAAAATAGCCATTAGCACACCTGAGGTCACCCAGAGTAGAGAGAATACAGGCTTTAGAGATGTATACAGGCAAAATACTGCAAATAAACACATTTCAGACTTTCTACAGTAGCACAAAACTATATAATGAATCATTTAACCATCTTTCCTCACACATGATAAAATAATTTACACTCAAATCAACTTTTCACATGCATTTGTTTTATTACTTGCTGTTTAGCACTGTAATGAGCTGGATAATGTACAGTCAGCCAACTTGTGGTCTTAGTCCCTGTGTGTGGGTTAGTTTTGTGAGAATTGTTCTGTAATTTCAGTTTGTATCAGATCAGATGTTGCTTTAGCAGTTGCGATAGTGTATGTAGAAGCTAAAGCTGAGCTTAACAGATAGTCTGTCAAGAATAGCTGGGGTAAAGTGGGATAAATGGAAACACTTAAGGGAAAGCATTTAAGTATATTGCATTTCCTGACGAGTCATTTACCGTTTCTCTTTTAAAGGAGCTATGTACATCTGAACTGACTCCATTACAGTATGTCTGATGAACAACCTTATTTTGATCATGAAAAGAACACCCGAGACTTTTCTCGCCAAAACAAAGAGCAGACGATGAGAATGTGAGAGAAATATAAGGGGAAGAGACTCTATCACGTCCTCCGCTCGCTTCGCCCACCCGCTCTTCTTATCTGCTGTCGGTGCGTTTGGAACCTATATCTCTACTAAAGCAACTTGTGCTGGTGGCTGATAAACACGCAGTCTATCCACTGCCTTCATGTTAAATGGATTCCTCTGCGCTTATCTGCACACGACTGCGCTATCTGCATGATGGTGGAAAGAGAAAGTAATCACAGTGTTTCACTCACGCTCAGCGGATTCCGCGAGCCACCCTAGACTTAGACTTAATTGAATATGTTATTGCTTTTGACTGTCTTTACAGTCCCAGTAGCATGCTAGTGCAGAATCTAGTTCTAACTGTGCAGGCTGGAGATTTCAACTTTAAACAAAGTCTTAGATCTCACAATAACTTTAAAATACATAATATCCCTTCAGCAGTACAAATGCTCTGGGCTCATGTCTTATTTAAGACATCTTGGTACATATACAGTAATATCTGCATTTATAGTTGTGTTACTTATGTTGGGCTACATTAAAAGTGTGATTTTTACCAAAACCGCATGTCCTGGTACTGTGTACCTGGTACTGCTATTTAAAACGGTTAGTGAACTTCATGTAATTTCATGCTTTGGTAGGAAATTGTCTCCTAAGGACATGACTGTAAATACAATATGGAAAATGTGAAGATCAGATAATGGAATAAAAATTAACCAATCATATGTTGTAGTGTAAAATATAACAAAGTATAAAGGAACTGATATTTTGTCACTTCATATCTAAGAATATGAGAAAGAAAATACTTGTCAGACTGATGTTTATCTGAATCTTGATGCATTTCTCTGTACTATAGCTAATAATATTCTTCGGAAAGGAGTGGAACCATGTTAGCACTGGCCTTGTTTCAATTTTACTAGTCAGATTATTCCTATGGATGTGTGTAAATGTGGAGCTGTCTCTGACTAAAGCTGCGGTCACAATAGACTTTAAGAGTGTGAAATTTGTCGGATACTGCAGCGGTTGTGATTTGACGTCACGCTCTGCAGGATGTTATTAACAACTTAAATTCAACAAGTAACAAAAAATAAGGTTACACTTTATTTCGATAGTCCACTTTAGACATTCTATTAACTATAAGTAACTTTGTAACTACATGTCAACTACATGTCACCTAATTCTCATTAATTTGCAACTACATGTCTACTAACTCTCAGAGTAGACTGTTAGGGTAGGTTTAGGGTTAGTAGAATAAGTTGACAAAGAAAGTGTTAGAAGATATTAAGCAGACAGTCTACTAATACTCTACTAACTGCTAGTTGACATGTAGTTGCAAAGTTACTTACTGTTAATAGAATGTCTAAAGTGGACTATCGAAATAAAGTGTTACCAAAAAGAATAAATCCAAAATGTTAAAACATACAATCTACTCCACTTTCCTGCAGTGATGTAGTTTTACATTTATGTTCTTTTAAATCAGCTACGAGGTCATGCTGTGGTGAATCGGCCTTGTATTGGTCATGCGGTTTTGCATGATACGAATTCACATGTCAGAGCTCAACAAACTTGAACTTAGGAATGCAGCGAAATTCGAAACAACTTTGCAAGAGCTTGCGCTTCTGCTCTCCCACATTTGTATGGGCATGAATGGAAGTCAATGGAACAGATAGATATAGAGTGCAACAAGGCTCTGTCTAAGGTCCGATTTAGTTGCATTTAGTTACATCCTTCTAGGCCTAATTACAATGAAAAATCTGATCATGCAGTTTTTTATTTCCACTATTTTCATACATTATTATCATTTTTTTTAAATTAGCATTTAGTGTAATAAGACAGTAAAGACTGGTATCCATTAATGGACAAATTAGAAGTTATTGGGCGTAAACAAGGGTTAGGAAATGATTACAGAATCTCTTTAAGTAACAGTGTCTGGGTAAATGGAAATGTCCTCACCTACCATTTCAAAAATACATAACCCCCAACACACTGTCAGACAGACTGTCACCTCTGCACTGCTTTGGTACCCTTTAAAGGATAACTGAGCATTGAAGGCTGGCTCTTCCTCTCCCTCTGGTGCCGGCTCATAATTTCTCCTGTCGTTAGCTCTGCTGCGAGAGAGCCGTCTTAAGCACTGATGACTAAGGCCAGGTATCTTTAACCCAGGCCATATATACGGCCAACTTCTTGTGTGTCTGCACACGAGGGAACAATTACTAAAAAAAAACCTGGGACTGTTCCAAACTCTTATTTCTGTCCTCTCTTTACCTCATTCACCTCAGCCTGCTCTCTCCGACTCACTCACTGTTTCGGGTGTCGCTGGCCGTGCAGGGCCAAACTAAACATAAGTACTCTATTTTAGAGCAGGACCAGGCACCATGGAGGGACCGAGCTGAATTAGGTCAGTGAAAGACTGAGTGGGGTGGAGAGAGGTGGGTATTGGTTTTTCCTGTTTTGGGTCAGTGATTCTTAAACTGAAAGTATCACTAAGCCCATTACTGTTACTGATTGCCTACTACACTCTCAGAGCAAGCTTACGGCATGCTTCACAACAAACACATACACAGTGTGTGAATGAAGCAGGGGGACAGGATGATGAACATAAGACCTGTTTCACATAGCTTGCACAACTGCAGTGTAACTGCAACAGCACATGATGTAAAGCTGGTCACTGACAGGGTTTCTGTTGAGTATGCTACTAAAGCTCTACACAGTATTAGTGATTTCTGATTGAATATATTTAGCAGTCCTATAGGCCAGTGGTTCCCACCCATATTTCTGGAGCCCCCAGCTGAACTGGGCATACAGAACTGCACATTCTGTAAGTCTCCTTAATCAAACACAACTGATTCAACTCATTAGTAGAGACTCCAAGACCTGAAATGGGTGTGTCAGACAAAGGTGAGATGCAAAATATGCAGTGTTTGGGGAGTTAATCTACATAATAATCACATTTATATCCAAATAGTAAAGCACAACTACACTAAACTCTGTATAAACCCCCAAGAGTAGCTTCGACTATAAATATAATACACAAATGTAAATCAAATCATCTGGATTCTGTTTGTGTGGCTGTTCGTGCATTTGGAATTTAGATCTCCAATTTATATTTCATGAGGGTCAATCATCATTGCAATCAACACTAAAGTCTATGAAGTTGCATCTTAAGAAGAGTGAGATATTTCAATATTGAAGAAATCAGCAATTGTGGCACTTGTTGCTCATCCTGTACTCTAACTAAACAGGCTTTACAGTCTTTGGTAGCACTCCAGTGAGCTCAGTTTGGCTCTACAGATACTGGATAGTGTTCCTCTGAAGTTTGGGATCTGGTGTTGAAAATGATGTATGATATCTTGTATTTTGCAATGATTCCTGTTTAAAAGAGAGACAGTTATGTGCGACTTTTGACTGCTGGCCAAATATATAACCACATATTTAGGATCTATTGAGACTAAATGTAATAATTTAAGATTTAACCAAAGAAAATTACACATTGGCTGACTGCTAACCTGAATACTGGAACTGACATATCCTCTTCAATGTCTATGGTGTTTATGGCCATGTTGGACAACGTTTTAAAGTTTATTGAAATGTCAGCTTTATCTCAGATGTTTCTCTTAAAATTCTATAGAACACACAAATAAAGAGGCACTGATGAGACCGTAGATGGCATACAAGTATAAAACTATACAACAAACGTGAATTCATTGATGTTTCCCAAAAGCAATCAAGTAGATTGAAGAAGCCCCTTGGCACCAAATGTCTCTACGGTCTACTTAAACATACAGTACTTTTGGGAAAAGCAGATTTTGGAAGATTTGATGATAAATGTTTGAGTTCATATTGAGATCTCTGCCTTCTCATTGCAGATTATCTGAGCATTCTATGAGGAATTCTTGAGACATCCTTTGAAAGTCCTTTGACACGTGTGTGATTAAGTCTCTATCTGTGCTCCATTTAATGTGGCTTCCCTGTTGAACAGCCTCGGTGCAAAGCGTTTTTAAGAACACGTTTTAGGAGCGACATGTGCCGCCTGACTGAGTTTGTGTGAAGTATGTCCTTCACATCTCTTTCAGTGGGTCTCTCAGGGGACAGACTGGGTTCGGGCCCCGTCTGAGCAGTGATGGATCGGTCCCATCTCGCCCCATTAACGTGCGTCTGTCCCTGGCTTTTCCCAGAAAGAGAAACCTTTCCATTCACTCTCTCTCCTCTCAAACTTTTCTCCGCTTGTCCTCCATAACACACCACCAGCTCCCTCGTTTCCGCTCCCTCCACCTCGTGTCTGCTAATGGCTCAGCTTGGAGAGCTTTGGTGCCAGCTAGCGTGGCACTGCAGCAGTCCCTCTCCATCTGTTTCAGGGGTGGGGTCACAGCAGAGCCGAGACCTTTCTTCCACCTAGATGCCGTATTCCACGACACCACTGTGATTTAGTCCGCGTACAGAGCTGGCGCGACTGCCAACATAACATCCCCAGAATACAGCATATGCTAATGCTAACACATCAGTATATCAACCTTCAGAGAAAGAGAGAGATTGACGCCCAGTGGGGAAAGTGAAGGGATGAGAAAGAAAGAAAAATAAACAGAGTGACTGATGGAAATATTCTGCATGATAGATGAGCTCAGTGATTTCTGATGCTAATGAAATTAAGACAAAACCATGAGTGCCACAGCTGCCAATGCTAGAGAGGTGCTGCTTTGTGTTATATTGCATTTGTGGCCACTTTGCACTGACCACAGATGATCAAGCCATTTGCTCCATCTTATCCCTGAATTTTATTCCATGTCACACTGGGACAGAGATCCATATGGCCTAGAGATTAAGATTTGTTTGACTAGTACTCAAGCGTGAAGAAAAAAAACTTTTATTTGGGATTTGGACACACACACACACACGTTGGGTTTTCATGTTTTATGGGGACATTCCATAGGCGTAAAGGTTTTTCTACTGTACAGAATGTATTTTCTATCGCCCTACACCAACCCTACACCTAAACTTTCTGCATTTTAATATATATATATATATATATATATAAACATTCTGTATGATTTATAAGCTTGTTTCCTCATGGGGACCAAATGTCCCCACAAGGAAAGGATTTCGGATATTGCCTTTTTTTTGGGGGACATTTTGTCCTGATAACGTAGGGTTTACCAGAACCGCCAGAGATCAGTACCAGTGGTCCTGTGGCTCAGTGGTAGAGCATTGTGTTAGCAGCACAAAAGGATGTGGGTTCGATTCCCAGGGAACACACATACTGGTAAAAAAACTATATCCTGAATGCACTGTAAGTTGCTTTGGATAAAAGTGTCTGCTAAATGCATACATTAAATTAACCGCACATACACACACAACAAGGGTTAAATATGAAGAGTTACTGGAGAGGACACAAAGGCTTTTTTGCTGCCCTTGTAGGAGGTATCCTTCTAAGGCTGTATCCTAAACGAAAAGGAACCACTAAACTGACTGATTTCATAACTGATTTCTACATAAGCAGCATTAATGCCAAGATTATGGGTTGATTTCCAAGGAATGCATGAACTGATGAAATACCTTGAATGCAATGTAAGTCACTTTGGATAAAAGCATCTGCCAAATGATTTTAAGAGTTGAAATGATATTGATTTCAAGAGTTTAGTGTTAAATTGCCAAGCTAACAATGTGATATTCTAACAAACATAAAAATACACACAAGCACACACAAAAGATGAGTAAAATAGTCTATGTAGTTTTAGTTAGATTCTGCTATTTTTTAACAATACTTAAGGATAATGGCATGCGCTACATATATTTTTCTAGTGAACATTTCTTATGCTGCCTCCCCTTTTGGAAAGTCCGGAGCACAATTACAGTATGACGTCTTGTGGTGCCTGTAGACGAAGTTAAGCCATTCTTAGAAAAGAAAAAGATTCAAATATTTTTTTCTATAGGTCTATCATAATGCGTGCGGTAGAGGGTTAAGGTGTTGGTACAATGCCATTGAAATTCTGCAGGGAATTTCTGGTCAAGTTTCAAAACTGCATCATCAGAAATGAACCCAGCTTGAGACTTTTGGGTAAACTTAAATTTGTTATTATTCATTCATTTATTTTAAATTTAGGGCCCTTTTAAAGATTGTAAGTGTCAAGTAACTAACCAAGGATCATTGGAAATATTTGTCTCTACTTGCGTTTCTGCATAGGTATTAAAAAAAGTATAGGTACTACTTATTCCTTTTCACGCCAAGTATGATTTACAGGGCCAGAGTTTTGATTAAGAAAGCCTAATTTTCGCATAAGTCCTTGCACAATATTATGTTAGGACTTCAAAACAATTCAACATGCTGCAAGATTTGAAAACTGATACTTTTGAATGTTAGCGTCACATATACAGCTTCATATGTATGGGTTTTCTAATGCAGCAGGTTTGCTTGGTTGTTCACACGATACGGCATTGCACTTGAGAGGTGAAGCGCTCCGGTACGAATCCACGAAACCACCCTTACAGCACGATGTTATAAAAGTACAGTTTTTCACTTCCAGCCTTCATGGACAATGAAATTAATAGTAGTTATTAGGATTGATGTGCTTTGGAATTGGTAAAATGTGCTTGGAAAAAAAAATATGATCAGAATATTAACATGCCTAATCATTGTGCAGGCACTACATGGCCTGACGTTAAAGATGCTGAAATATCATTAGCTATAATCAGTTTTATTTATTTTTGTATAGAGGAGAGCCTGAGTAAAAGGTGGCGCAACTTACCCCACTGAAGGTAAAGTCTGGAGGTAAAACCTTGTCATCTTACCTGTCACAGCGTGTGCCCGTGTAACCCGGCGGGCATCGGTCGCAGATCACCTCATCCCTGGCATCGACATGACATGTGGGACTGAAACTACGGTGTTTTTAAGCCAACAAGGGGACAAAGAGAAAAACAAAAGAGCAGCGAATTAAAAACATCCTTCCCATTCGTCATAAGTGCTCACTCTGGATCTAACCGACATCAAAGCGTCTGAACCCCAAGACGGTTTAGCTGGTGGGCAAAGCCTGTGCAGCGAGGTCAGGTTCTGCCATCAGCTCTAGCATAATGACTATTTCAGACGACACTGGAGCCCGGCTGAGGGGCATGCTGGGAATGCTGAGGGCCGGAGGGGAGCGACGCTTTCTTTAGCCCGCTTGAGGATGTGGAATGCTCAGCTGTTGGATTCTGGGACATGTCTACTCTTTCTGGATTAGCCACTAGCATGCTACAGCCAATATTAGCCTAGTGCTGAAATCATGCGCCAGTTACAGAGTTGAAGTTAAAGGGATAGTTCACCCAAAAATGAAAATTTGATGT